ACTTTAAGTCCACTTGAATCTATGTTAATAAATGGTGATTTATCTTCAATATCCCATGCAGTCGGTAAAACAATATCTAAATCTCCCATTGCTGTAGGTTAAAATTCAATTCAGGTCTTTTGTTAACGAACGGTGAACATACAAAAGTAATTTATAGAAATATTAATAAACACAATGTACTATTTATGTATGTGTGTTTGTATTCTGTACTAGTGTTACAAGCTAAACGATAAGATTCATAATTTGTTAGTAGACTATCAATTATGCGGATAGCTGCGAATAAGAATTTGGCTTTGTATAATATATAGTTATTGAATCCGAATGGGATGTTATATAGAATAGGTGGGCAAACTCCGCAACTCAGCTAAGTATCTATTAATGATCACTAATCATTAGCGAAGCTTTATTTCTTATGTTGCCCACCTATTCTATAGAACATCCCTCCGGGAATGTGAACAGTATTGTGGTGTTAGGTTATGCGGATCAGTTAAATTATACTGTCCGCACGACATAATTCAAACCTGATATGATATAATCCAAAACTCGTGATCTAAGTGTTTTATTTGAAACTAAAATGCAAAAAATAATTAGCATGAATAACATTCTAATATATACAAGTATAGAGAAAAATAAGTAATAGGCTCTATTTAGTTTTTATATAGCGGAGGCCACTCTAGTTACCTGCTACGTACAGAATTCTGTTGCGCTTCGGAAAAATTTAATATGCTATATATTTCTCTATTAAATTACATTAATTATTTTTATTAATACAGTATAAGGTGTGCCTATATAGAGGTAACCTTTATTAAGTTACACTTCTTTATAATTACTTAATTGGTTATATCTAACTGTGTGATTATAGGGGAGGATGATTGTAATTAATAAAGATGAAAGTTATACGTTTATTTAGTTTGGCAAAAAAAAAAAAAAAAAATTATAGTTATTAACTTATTGTTCAAATAAGTTTTTACTTGTTCAAGGATTTTTTTGATTTTATCACTTTAAAGATAGATAATCAAATATGTGATTTTATTCCTGTGATGACACGAAGAAAAACTGCTCTGATACTTCTACAGTATATTAGGCACATCTTTCAAATTTCTTTTATAAAAGTCAAGAAAAATAGTTCATTATGTTATATTTCTAAACTACAATTCATGACTAATTATCGATTATATCGATTGATAACAATTTTATTTTTTATATAAATTAACCGGTTAGGCATAATTTGCTCTAGGTTAGACACCAAAATCATGGTTCCCGAGTTTTGTTGGCGAGCCGAATCTCTACCAATTATATTCAATTCTATAGTATTATTTCTAGTAATAGACTAAACTGGTAATTGGTTATGCATATTTCTTTTTCAAATTTGCAAATTTTAGTAAATGTTAAAGACAAAGTTATATTATAAAATCGAAATACAGTATAACGAGAACTTGGGAATTATTGTATGGCAAAGTTAATAAATTTATTTACAAAAAAAATATGAATTTCGTGGTCATGATTTTATAATTGTATATATTTATTTACATATTTAGCTTCTTTTTTTTTTTTTTGATAAGTTATTACTATTATTTTTTACACTTGTAAACTGTTTCCATTGTTCCTGTAAGAATGCCAACATTCTGCTTTCTTTAATAAGTATACGACTGTTTTTGTATCATGACACATGAAAAAATTCCGCATGCTAAAAAAAAAAAATAAACTTTAAGCAAAATTACTATACCCAATAAACCGGGAAAATATCACCTTTATTCCCCGCTTCGCGGGGAATAAATAGTACTTAAATACGGCATAGTTTTACTATTAGTTTAATATAGGGGTAGGAAAAAAATTAATCGATATAGTAAAAATCTGATCTACCAGGCCGATTTTAATGATTTTACCATTAGAATCGTCTCAATGAGCTTTGCAACTTTATTAGAGGTTTAAAAAAGTAAAAAAAAAAAAAAACTTTTATATGTAAGACAACCACATTCCTGTACTTTAGAAAAATTATATGAAGCTCCAATTTTTTAATTCTAAAATTTATCTTTTCTTACTCTTTAATCACGAATTACCTCTTAAATGTTCTACTATTATCTATACAGTGTTAGTTATATATAAGAAGAAATAACGAATTTTTTTTAGATTTTATAATACAAGCCACACTCGTTATAGTGAGTAGATCGGGTTGTGAGATTTCTTTACTATATCGAGAGTCTGTTAGTAAATTCACTATATCGAGAGGATTTTTTATAAACTGGTCTTCACTATAACGAGTGATTCATTATAACGAGAGTTCACTATAAAGAGAGTGACTTATACACTTTTATTAACCTCAAAATAAATATATATAACGTAATAAGTATATACAAAGGTATGTATCGAAACATAAAAATAAATCTGTTAGCATTTTATTCATGTGTAAAAGTGATTTATCGTACGTACGTACGTACGTACAAACTTTTTTTTAATTGTTTACGTCAGAAAAACTAGATCAAAGCCACTTTCTATCACTAAGCCTCAGAAAAACATTCTCAAATTTAAGTTCGATATATAAAAAAGCATAATAACGCTAGAATAATTTAATAATAATATTTTTTTTTATATATTATATAGTGAAGGACGGACGTCATAGATTCTCTAGAGCAATCTTACGATCTTGACAATTATGTACTTTGTAATAAATAAATTCATTGGTCATGAAAAAAAATAGCTTTAAAATTATATCCAAAATACGGCAACATTATTTTTTGTGTTCGAAATCTCCTTCCTGCACACAAATCTCTATAAACCTTGAGCTAGTATCACTTATCTCTCATTAAAGCAATAATTGTTTTCACTGTTATGTAAACAAGAGATTTGATGCTTATAAATCCGTTTACGATTGGAACTAAACAGTCATCATGAACATGTACTCAATTTATGCAAAAACTTTCTTGTCAGCTAGCATATTTCATTAAAAAAAAAAAAGTTCTGAATAAGTTAGACTTAACGTGTCTTTCTTAATCGAGCTGGCAAGCATTCCAATTTATTTCAATTATAACAATACAGTAGAATCCGGCCGAATAATCGGTCAATTATCAGTTGTTCCAGAATAGCTCTGTCCATCACGAATCAGGTTTCAGATATATAGATTATTATTATTGTTAAACCGGATCTTATTATTACAACTGTTTTCATAAACCTAAAAATTTGCTCGTTTTTTAAAATCTCTTCGATCTCGTTCTAAGAAACGCGTAACTTTTCGGAAACTACATCGCTGTCACTGTATCGACGCTCCAAAGACAGCAAAGTAGTTTCCAAAAAGTTACGTGTTTCTTAGAACGAGATCGAAGAGGTTTCGATAAACGAGCAGTGGCCCAGAATTTATGAAAACAGCTGCAAAATCTGAATATAAATAATTAAATCCGAATCCAGGTATTAACTAGATCAAGAATCACAAGAATTTTAACATTAAATTTCTTTTAAAAGAAGTGGAAAGAATCGACAATTTGTTTTTGTAAACAATTCAATAATGTAAAATAAAGTAAATAAATATAGATAGCAAAACGATAGACTCGTGGCGGATGCTTCTACCATTGAATAGATGCAATAAACAACAAGCCATCGTATATATTTGAACGCGGACGTCGTTTTTTAGTCTGCTTCATCAATTTAATGTTTATTGTCCCACAAATGTAAAAAAAAAAAAAAAAAAAAGGTTTAAATTTCCGAAGTTATATAAGTGTCTTTTTTAATTGCATTGTAAGTTTAAAAAAAATTATTATAACAAACCATCGATCATATAAAAAAAAAAAATAGCTCCAGATCGAAACTGCAAAGATTTTATTTTTTGGTACTACAGCAAAGAAAAAAAAAATTAAGAGCATCAATAATGATGATTTATACAGGAACGAAAAGGGGTGTCTGCCTTTGTTTTTCAATTATTCCAAATTTATTTCTTGCATTCCTTTGCCCGGTCCTTGGTAAGTCATTGAAAATTTTGTAAATTGTTCTTTATGCTGTGAATACTAAAAGATATTTCTTTATAACGACATTTAGAAATAGCAAAGCTTAAATTATTTAATCTATCTGGGGGAGAACTAAGTTATAATATATGGATCGAATTCACGTAAATAAGTATTCTTTTTTTTTTTCCTAAGAAAAAAAAGTGCCATATTTTAAATTGAATATTATTTTATAGATACCTGGTTCTTATATTGTCAATGATTAGTACGCGCCTTTTATTTAAATATCTGATATATACATAACTATAAAGCCTTGTTTTCTAATTCCAATTTGATAAAAATTGTTTTAGACGTAATTTTCCTAATACATTGTTGTTGTATCTTCGAATATGGTGATTTAGTCTGGTATTTCAAGTATGTACGTCGCAATTTTCGTTTCCAACTTGATACATTTATCAATAATTTGAAATTCATTGAACCGAAATTATAAGGATCGTGATAATCATTTGGTTAATTTTTCCATGTACGTACTGACGAAAGAGAAATGATATATATACATATTTTCACATACCGTTTTTTAATGTTACTAACAGTGTCTAAATTTTTACTTTTTATAAAGTTATTTACACACTTCTTACCATCAATGAAATGGGTGACATTCCATTTAGTTGTCCAACAGATTACCCATATACATCTAGTACGATATTAACAGCATGTAAAATTCGAGTATTAAATTTGATTTGTATGTGGTTATACTTAGCAACATTAATAATTATAATACCCCTTTTTTGGTCGTTGCGTAATGCTTCTAAATCGAAAATTCCTGACTTTGAACGGGAAACAAGCGGTTTTCTTGGTATTTTTGATAAATTGGGATTAGGTATCTCAAGAAGACAACCACCTAGGTCACCTAGATTGGATTTAGAAGATGATCCGAAGAGAAACTCAGTACTGATTTTTGACGCTGGTAGTCCGATCGTTGGGGAGTTTAGTAACAGAAATTAGTGATACGAAAGAATGTTTTAAAGTATTAAATTCACATATAACTTTACTTATGTCTTTTGAATAAAATCCTGACAAATATTTCTATTGATTATATATATACTGTATAATAAATCACATCAAAGTAATTTTGCAAATTTTTTTTTTTTTTATGATTCTCTTGCTTTTGAATGATTTTTACATCTAACAAGTTCTTTTATCAATCATTTTAGTGTTCTTCTACAATAATATATTAAGGTCATTTCTTGCCTCGCTGCGTGTGTTAAAACATTATGGACAATTTTACATCTGCTCATATATATAGGTATTAGTAGAAAAATGATATTCATTTATTCGATCTTTTTATTATTATTATTAAACATTCGATGTTTATTAAATATTTAGTAATAATTTAAATTAAATAAAATCCAATATATACTGTATATTTTTCATATTTAATTTTATTTTATAAAATTTTATTTTAAATATAAAAATCTATATACCAGATACTGTAGCTATTTACTAGTAATTTTACGACCAAGAAATTTATTTAAAGAATAAGCTATATATATTGTCAATGAAAAATATTATACAGACAGTTTTATTAAAGTTATAAAATATACACTAAATGTTTGTTTAAGCATAAAATAAAATTGGAAATTGGAAAATTAATATTTATTATATATAGTAAATATAGCCTTTTTAAAAATTTTTAATTAACTGCTTTTGAGTATCTAAAATTTGATAATTTATTTTAATAATTGTAACAATTATAATAAATCTCAAATTATAATAAAACTTCTATTAGTAAAAAATATTATTTAACTTTAAGGAAATATTTTATTAATAAAATTTTGAAGACTATTTTAACTTTAACTAATTATATAGCAATTATTATATTTTACCATAATCTAACTTTTATTATACTGGAATAACAACTATATATCAGATATTGTATACAGTATATTATTATACACTGTATAATATACAGTGTATATTATACAGTAAATATATATATTTATAGATAAACATTTTTAAGTAGTAATTTATTTAAAAAATTTGCAGCATTATTATATAACTTTAAAAAGAGTAATATTTCAAAATAAAGTTTTTATTACTGTAAATTAATTTCTTATTTGATGGTTTTTGAAATACTTTAACTTTTTTTATAAATAAATAAATAATAAATATATATATTACATTTTAATATTTAGAGTATATACATTATACTGCAAAAATTAGAATATGAAATAACAGGATGAAAGAAATTTATTTACTCTATCTTAAAAAGATCACATGGCATTCTCTGCAGTTACGAGGCTGATTAATCTGATTACGAAATTTGTTTTTAAGTCGGGCTATGATTTGTTTTGATTTTATAATATTTCTTTGCTTATAATAACAAACATAGCCAATAACCTTTTTAAAGTGCATTTATGAATCCAAATTACTTTAATTTTTTCTAACCCTTTTTTCTTAAATATAATAATTGCAATCATTCAATTCAATAATTAATTAAATTGGAGGATTTTGAACTATAAAAAAGTCTCGAACGATTTCATAAAGACGCAAAAATCAAATTGATATCAAAGAAATATATTTATATATAATCTCGTGATGAATCGTAATATCCGAATTTATTTCCTTGTTCTACTGATGGTTCCATGTTGTATTTTAACGTTTGTTTGTCCTATACTTGGTAAATAAAATGCGAAGTATTTTTTAATTATGGTTTGTTTTTTTTTTATATCAATTTAACAATTATATTTATTGATTTAGAATCTCAAAAAATTGCTCTTTTTGAAAAGACAAATGGTGAACTTGAAATAAATAAAATAGTTGAATACATGTAAGGTCGACTTGATTGTATTGTCTGATGAGTCTTTCAAATGTAAATTTTAATATGTAATTAACAGGTACCTGATAATCACGATTGTAATTGCTGGTACGCATATAACCTAAATTTATTTTAACAACTAGTACTATCAATATTATTGAATTTGGTTTATAATTGAAATATATCATTTTCAGTCATAAATGTTTTTGCTTGCCTTTGTTGTACCTACTTCAAATACGGTGTATTAGACGTTAAAAATGTGTAAGTTGTCCTTTAAAAAAAAAAGTTTAACCGTTATTCGATGATCTCACTTTCAAACAATAAATAGGTTCGCCACAGTTACTTGGTTGATTTTCCCTGGTAAGCTTTTCCATCTTCAACATCTCATTACACCATAAAAGCAATTTTATTTAAACCTTTTTTTTAATTTTCTTATTAAAAGTTGCCTACACTAGACTCACTTTTAATGAAATGGGTGACATCCCATTTAGTTGTCCATTTGATTATCCATATAATTCAACGATAATCAAAGATGCTTGTCAAATTCGTTCGGCAAATTTAATTTGCATGTGGCTATATTTTATTAATTTAATACTTATTATATTAGTCGCTTGTTCTATTAGGTCTAAGGAGACAAATCAAAAAGTGTAAGATTATAAGTATAAACTGCACCTATTCTATTAATAACAAAATTTTTATTCATACTGTGACCTATACTATATATACGTTTAGTATTTAAATGTTGGAGAATTATATTTGTACTATGCGTCTCTTTATATCTTGCTATATTTATTGTAATTTTTCATCATATTAAAGGAAATACTATCTAGGTTTTAATATTTTATTTCCACTAACTAATGCTAACCTGACCATCTTGATTTGAGACATATATTTAACATAATTGTGTATAAATTTTATCCATCATAATGTCCAATCTCTGGATTTTACAGACTTTGCGCGAGAAATTTTCTGTAGAAATTGTAGAATTAAATATATAAGTTTCAATCCCAAACTTTTAGAGTTCTTAATAAATGCCATTTATTATTAATGGATAAAGTTAGGGTATTACTACTATCCAAATCCTTACCAATTATAGATTATACTATATTATGAATATATATAATAAAATGATTAATACACGTAAACTACTTATATCTTCAGATACAGTTGCCACATACGTATTATAGCGAATTTGTATGCTAATCATGAAGATACTTTTCGAAAAAAATATGCATAATAGTAGTTTAATTAGTTTAATTGATCCAGTGGAGTTCATTCAGATATCTATTAGCAAAGTTGTCAATTCTGCTCGGAATACTAAATTTAATTAAATCATCAAAAATGCTGTATCTAAAAGTAACCCAAAAACTTGAATCTCAACTTTACCATATTATTTTACTGTTAAAGAAAGTTAACTGTAAAACTTTAGATGATAATCCTAAATTCTTGATAATAAATAAGATTTAATGCTAGAATATTTCAAACATTTTCAACTGGTTTTAAATATAAAGAGAAGATTTCTATTTTTATAATGAGCGTTAACAAAGATGAAATATATTAAGAAAAGCAAATTCTAATTAACAATTTGAAATCATTATTAAAACATAAAAAAATTGATTATTTTAAAGTTTCTTTAAAATATATATTTTTGTAGACTTATCTTGAACTATAAAGTCGTTTTTTTGAAACTTTTATATTTATTAACCTACCTTAAAAGCTCATGTCAATTTTATCAATTGGTATGATATGCACAGGCTTTCGAGCATATATTTGAAAAGAGGATTACTAATAGTGATGGGCAAATATTCCGATATTCTGCAATGTTTCGAAAATAAGAGAAATCGGAATCCAGTATCTATTCCGCGAATTGTCCATCACTAATTACTAACTTCGTGTTGAATGAAGATCATGATTTGTGGATATTTCATATCAATTTGAAGGTCAAATTATTTGCACTCATTTTCTTGATCATCTCGATCCACGATGAGAAATTTCTTATGTTGGTCAATAAAAATGAATCACATTTTCTTGCCTTTAATATTATTCAAAAAAAAAAACAAAAATTGATATTAGTATCCGTTTCATGATGTATTTTAAAGCTCCACAGATCATTCATTCACGAGACTTAGAAATATGAGGATGTTAACCGTTTAAAATCAATTATAAATTAAACTACCAGAACTAGTTCAGTATATAATAAAATTGAACTAGTTTAACACCCTTAGTTCTCGCTACACTTCGGACAATTACTACAAACTCTAAGATAATATATTTATTTCATCGAGTTCATATGCTGCTATGCAACACATAAGAGTAACGTTAGTTCCGATGAAAAAATTTTAATCGTATGATCAATATTGTATATAATCAAAGAAGGTTTAAAAATATGAACTTCACATGAATTTCACGAGATCACATATTACGTCGTATTTTAATTAGCAGTACATACAAAAATTTTATGATCACGATAAACATTTCTCTGCAAAATGCCACATTCTTGACAATATCAGATATATAATTATTTATTTTTATAGTTTGCATCTGCCCAAATGTCTACCCTAAAATAAACCTAAAATCTACACTAACGTCTACATACTAACATTCAAACACACAGAGTAACGTACATTTCAAAAAACACCATTGCGCGATAAACAAGTTCCGTCACGAGACCCACTGAAAAAAAATATATAGACGACACCAATGATGAGAGAAAGGATGACACTAAAATGGGTGACACCAATGATGAAGAAAGGATGACACTAAAATGGACGATATAATGCCAAAAAAAAAAAGACAACACGACAATAAACGGCTAGACTTCCTTTTCTATTAACTTCCATCTTTTCTTCACATAAACGACTATATTTGTTGTACGTTGCTCTTAAATAACCGTTAATTCAAAATTAACGTACCTGAGTTTAAAATTTATACCGATTAAAATGT